GAGTATAGTAAGTGGAAGCGACTCTTTAAAAAGGAGAGAGGCAAGGCAGCCTTACCTAAACACTAACTATAGGATTATAAAATACACTTACAGCCTAGGAAAGAGCCTCTATAGGGACCCTTATACGCAATGTCTAAGAAAGAGCTCAAAACCCTAGATAAGTAGCTAAAAGAGAAATTAGAAAAAGGCTAGATACGGAAGTCGATATCCTCGGCAGCCTTACTAGTAATGTTCGTTCCGAAAGCCGGATTAGACGAAGGACGGCTAGTAGTCGATTTTAGACGACTTAACGACATTACAATTAAGAATCGGTACCTACTACCGAATATCGAAGAAATGCAAGACCGATTAACTAGATTAGACTAGTATACGAAGATTGACCTACGCGATGCGTTTTATACAATACGTATAGCAGCTAGATACGAATGGATAACAGCATTCCGAACAAGATATAGGCTTTACGAATTCTTAGTTATGCCTATAGGACTTACAAATGCCCTAGCGTTATGTTAAGACCTTGTAAACGAAGTCCTCCGAGACCTTCTAGATATATGCGTTATCGCATATATAGACGATATCTTAGTCTATACTAAAGGAGCTCTCGCGGACTATATACGAATAGTGCAGGACGTCTTTAAACGATTTACTCAAGTAGGATTTAAGACTGCACCTAAGAAATGCGAATTCTATAAGAAGGAAGTCAAATTCCTAGGATTTATTATTAGTACTATAGGAATCAGGATCGATCTAGAAAAAACCAAGTTAATATAGGAATAGCTAACGCCTACATGCGTTAAAGACGTACAATTATTCCTAGGATTAGCTAACTATAACAGGAAATTCATCGAGGGCTATTCTAAGACAGCGGCACCCCTTACGGAGCTTATAAAGAAAGACAAGAAATAGAACTAGAGCACGAAGGAAGACGAAGCGTTTAGGTAGCTAAAGAAGCAATGCGTTTCTACGCTAACGCTACGATTATTCGATAGGAGTAAGGCGGTCTAGATAGAAACAGACGCGTCGGATAGGGCTATAGGAGTATACCTTATATAGGAGCATAACGGGAAACGATACCCGGTAGCCTATTACTCGAGAAAGATGTTACCCGCGGAATAGAACTACGATATCTATAATAAGGAGCTACTTGCAATAGTTGTATTACTACAATACTAGCGAGTATACGCGGAAGGAGCACTAAGTCTTACGATTCTTTCTAATTATAAGAATCTGACTTACTTCACTACGACTAAAGTACTAACCCGAAGACAGGCCCGCTAGTCGGAGCTACTAGGGCAGTACAAGTTCGAAATCCGCTATACCCTAGGACGCGAGAACGGACGAGCCGACGTACTAAGCCGCCGTAGCGACTATATAGAGGGTCACGAACTAGTGCAGCAGCAGATATTAAAAGCAAACCAAGACGGAAGCCTTAGTGCTAACACAAAAGAATTCAACTATATTATACGAGTTCTTTAGGACATAGAAGAACAGTTTCCAATCGAACACGGGAAATACTAAGTACCTAAGGAACGAGTTACGGAGTGTATACGACAACACTACGACGGACTAGAAAATAGACACCCTAGAGTTTCAAAAATAATAGAACTAGTTAAGCGAAGCTTCGGATTCCTATATATGCGACAACGAGTTCTAGAATATATTAAGAAATGTCTATAATGTTAGCGTAATAAGGCTAATAGATACGCTAGATATAGACATATCCAATTTAGGACGCTACTAGATAAACTATAGGACGAGGTTACAATAGACTTTATTACGAAACTACCGAAGTCTAAGGATCCGGTTATAGGATATAGCTACGACATAATACTTGTTATAGTCGATAGGCTTACGAAATACGCACACTTTATTCCTGCTAACGAAGCAAGTACGGTAGAGCAACTCGGATACCTCGTACTAGATAGACTTGTACGATACTATAGATTTCTAAAGACCTATATTACGGACAGAGACAAGCTCTTTACGTCAAACTACTAGAAGACGCTTACAGCGACGCTTGGAATTAAGCACAAGCTATCAACGGCATACTATCTATAGATAGACGGCTAAACGGAAGTTAAGAATTAGGCCTTAGAGGCATACTTACGGCACTACGTCAATTACGCACAAAACAATTAGGCATCGCTATTGCCTATAGCACAACTTGCACTAAACAACTAACAATCTAAGACTACGAAAGAGACACTATTCTTCGCTAATTTTGGGAAACATCCGCAGCTATTCGGGGAATAGTATTTATAGCATCTATACGCGGATAAAGCGATAGTCGCTTTAGAAGACTTAAAGTAGGTATATAAAGAATTGCAAAGGGCAATTGCCGAGTCTTAAGAAAAGATTACGGGACTATATAATGCTAAACGAAAAATGGCACCTTAGCTAAAAAAGGGGGATAAGGTCTACCTCCTAACAAAGAATCTAAAAACCCGGAGATCGACTAAGAAACTAGACTACGTTAAAGTCGGGCCATTTCTAATTGATAAGCCTAAAGGACTAGTTAATTACCGACTTAAACTACCGGACGACGCGAAAATCTACCTAGTATTCTATATCTCTATACTAGAACCTACAGACGCCGAAACACCGTATTAAGAAACATTTCACTTCTAACCTAAGGAAGAAAATGAGTTTAAAGTCGAAAAGATCCTAGATTAGCAAGGTTAGAAATACCTTATTAAATAGAAAGGATACCTACATTTAGAAAACACCTAGGAACTAAAAGAAAACCTGCAGAACTATTAGCAGATAATCAAAAAATTTCAAAACCGAACAAAAAAGAAATAACTAGTATAGGAATTGAACCTACGACCTCTTAGACCCTATCGATTATAGCGCCTTAGAGTTCTTAACGACCTAGGGCAGTATAGCTCGAGGAGCGGGGACTCTAATAGCGTACCTAGCAACTATGTCTTTTATAGCTAAGAATCATACTACTAGACTAACTAGCTAGAAGATAAAATAGATAGGAAACATTGAAAATACATACCTTTAAGATACTAGACTCTCGGCACTCCTACTAGGAATTTCAGAGGTTGGCTAGGACGTCCTATCTAGACGACTCTAGTTATAAGGCGACATCTATAATCGGCTATCTAAGGGAAACGGCTCGTTAGTAGGCAACGAGAATATTATCGGCTCTATAAGCGAAGAACCTAGCTCTCTTTCGAGCTCCTCCGCCTATTAAATAGAGGCTTCCTCTGCCTTAAGAGCTTATACCTCCCGATCTTCCTTTATACGTAGCGACTTACGTAAGCGACGGACCTTTGCGCGATGCTCGAAAAGCTTCCGCGTAAGGAGGTCTTCCTCCTCTTTAGCCGCTTCGAGATCTTTAGCTATCTTTAGGCGCGCCTTCCGGATTTTTTTATACTCTATACGAGTAACTTGCATATTATAGGACTAGCCGTATAGGGCGTACTCGGAGCAGCGGCCGGAACGGAGATCGACTTTGTAGGATTTATCGGCCTGCTCGTAATAAAAGCAGCGGATCGGCATTTCGAGGCAGTCGGCAAGGATGTTATTTGCGATATTTTCCTTACGCTAACGAGAAGACAAGTCCTTTAATAACTTTAGCATAGCAAAGAAGTTGGAATTAGAAAGTTCCGGAATAAGGGACTATCCCGCTTAAGGAGGGGGATAGTATTACGGATCTAATTAGTTAGAGTCCTTATATAATCTTAGAGCGACGCTAAGACTAGTAGGCTAAGCTGTCGCTCTATCTTACTAGGAGCGATAGGAGCGGTCGAGAGCGATAGCGTCGCTTACGTCGCTCACGACTATAGACAAGATATCTCCTTTGTATTTAGGAACGCCGGAATGCCCTTATAGCTCGAGGCGTTCAACTTATGTTACCTACTTACTAATTGGAATTACCTTTGTACCAATTATTCTGTCTCTGCCTCCCGCTTATATTAGCCTCTCTAAAGAAGCCTCGGCTTGCACGTAATAAGAAGTTACTTAACGATCTGTCGCGAGTAACCGTAATAGGTAAGTGCTAAAGCCTGCTTTTAACCTATTATAACTAACTTCTTCCTTCCTTAGCTACTACGACCTTATAGAGCTATTCCTTAAGGTTACTATCGCTCTCGAGGCCGACAGACCTAAGCTATTATATATCTATAGCAACTAGCGCTAGCTAATAAATGCGGTAGTTAACAAAGTACTAAACCTCGTCTCGAATAAGGAGATAGAAGTCTATATCGAAATGCGATAGGAGAAGCTATAGGTTAGCTACTATACTAAACCTTCTACTAGACTAATAACGCTATTAGTTATTAGCCTCTTATGCTAATTGCCTATCTCGCTAATGTCTCCGAGCGCTCCGACCCTAATAAGTAGTTCCTCTTCGTTACTAACGAAGAGGTCCGCTCTCTTACCCCCTTCCTCGTCGAATACTACGCTAACTAGCAACGCATATCTACTACCTGCCCTAACTACTCCGAGTCGAAGAACGAGATTTATATAAGAGCCGGACAACTTCTAAACGATATCTTTATACTCCGTAGCCGATAAGGTCTATTCGGTAACCCTATTGTATAGGCGGCTAGCAAGAGTCCGATACTATTATTATAGTAGGCTAATAACTTCCGAGACTCGTATCCTAAGCTTACCGACCTCTATATACTCTTATTGTCTATCTATCTAACAACTAGCGCTACTAAGCGCAACTAGTTAGCTTATAGCTTTATTTAGTTACTTAAGCGTAATAGATTAAGTTACGATATACTCGAGAAGTTAGTCTTTATCTACTAGAATCTACGTATTAAGTATCGACTAGACGACGATAGGCTTATAAACGATAGTTATATAGATCTATAGGACATACTAAAGGAGGTATTTAAGCTATAAGGCGACTTTGAATATACTCGCAATAGCGGCGATAATATAGACGAAGATAGCGGTAACAACGCTGTCGACCTTACTATCGATAGTAATAGCTAGTAGGGCTGTTATCTATACTAAGATTGTTACTATATACCTTCTATATGTCTTATTTCCTTTATTGTTCTACTTTGTATAGGATACGCCATAATAACTGGATCCACTTACTAACCAATCTGTGTCTCGTGTATGTTCATATAGTGAACACCGTATTCATAAGCCCGGAAATTAAATACACCGTGAGTCTACATCTCTACCAACCTTGTGGGTCAAGACCAACAACAACCTCACATCACAATCTCACCACCAGCCTGGCTTGGCGCAAAGTAGCACTGCGTAGACGAGAAGCTCTACTGCACCTGCACCTGCGAAAGCATAGCTCTGTCCGGCTCGCCACGCTCTATACAGCTGCGTCTCGGTTTGCCACCCACAATACAGCTCCATCCTAGTACATCTGGTCTTCTGGTCTTAGCGCATGTAACGACCCAATATTGTACAGTCCTGTTTCAGCTGGACGCCTCTGATCTTCCTGCTTCTGAACTGCATATGATTCCAAGCAAACAAGCCGAGCAAACGAGATATGCCAATGGCAGCCCTGCCTTATCTTTCAGAGGTCATCAGGCCAGCCGGCAAGAAGCGGCAGGACGGTAGGCTGCATATTGTTGAATGCACTTGCAAATCGCGGACTGCATGCATGAATGGCTCTGCGCAGATTTTTCAGACCTATTCAATCATAACGCGAGGGTCAGTAAGAATTTTTCAAAGGAAGTCACGAGTAGGATCGAACCTGAAACACATTGAGCTGCTGCATACTTCTACTCCATATCACAGGGGAAGCTCCAGTGTGAAGGCACTGCAGCAGCTCTCACAGCTGCACCATATGTTACACCTGAAGAAAACACGTGGCTAGCGAACACTGAGCGTGTGCGCGTGCACAAGCAAGATTTGTGGATCTTACACTTTCATTCGGACTTCAGTCGTGAGACGACCATCGCATTTCCATCCCTTCGTCGTGCTTCAGACCAAGAAATTCGGTCTTTGCGACCACATGCGCCGGACCAATAGTTCTCGCTCACCTCACGCTCTCTAGTCTACAGTAGAACCACCTGCAGAAAGCTGATCGCCGCGCGTCCTGAGCTTGAAAATGCGGGAAATCTTGCAATCCAGCAATGTTGCTCTCTTCACCATTCGCTGGCTCCGATGCTCTTAATAAAACATGCAGAGCGAGACAACTGACACCAGCTAGAAAGTCAAGCCTCGCATATAATAATCACATATCAACAAGGTCACGACGCGATCGTCGTGCAGCTCTCCAATTCCATCGCATGAATGTCACTGCGCGTTCTAGCTCTGGTGCCACAAGATCGAATCGCCAGAGAAGGTGAATGACAATGGTAGTGACTTTTATCACATCAATCTCACTGAGGCAGTGTGTACGTTGAGAGACAAATTCAGTATCTCCGTTGGGATATACGCACTTCACTTCGTAGGATCAATGCGTTCCACTTCTTCAGCTTCGTCCGGTCACATTAGCAATACTCATCACCACAACATGGTCGAGTTGAGTCGAGATAGATCATAATAAAGTCCGTCCTCGCAAACTGGTCAAAGCTCATACTTCTGCCAACTTCCAACTTCCAACTTCCCTGCTGCCTATTTCGCTACAACCCGTGTTTTTTTCTTGTCAGAAACACGACCTGACTCGAATCGTTCCATCCCGCTGGACAAAAATAAAACGGCAGTGACGAAGATGGCTTGGCTATCTCACGTCGACGCAGAGATAGCATCATGAATTTTCGTGACGAAGAAGCAGACACAGTTTGTTCATCACTGAATTCTGTAAATTCTAGGAAAAATAAAAAGCGGGTATCTTTCCAATGCTATTCAACCAACCCTACTCATGATTGTTTCCCCCCAACGCCTCGCAAAAATTTTCTACAAAGTAGCCGCCCTAAACCGAGCACCAACAACACATCTCCCGCTACATCTCACACGTATCTAACTCGAAGGATCGTGCGTTCGATACGTAGGCGGACGTCCCACGCTTCCCAAATCACCGGCCTGCTGTGCACCAGCCCAATGATCCCAATTTTGATGCGTTTGTGAAGGTCCCATGCCAGGATGGTGTCCTCTATCTTCGTCCAGTTTCCCTCCGACTACAGGACGCGGTGGTTGAGGTGGAGGCGCGCCGAACATGTGACTATCGTCACCCGAGGCATATTCATCGTTGCGATATGGTGTGGTCCCAACGACTTGAGAGTTTCGTAACAGACCGGCTCTATCGTCATCATAAGTATCTGCTCTTGCACGTCTGGGGTCTTGTAATTCTGTTGCAATCTCTCCAGTCCCAGCATATGTCGGGCCCATGTAGGCCGTTTCATCGTGTCCTGTCTTTGTGGGCTGGTAGCTAACGTCTTGCTGTCGAGTTCTGAAGCCCACGAACATCCATCGTCCTCCTCTTGCAATAGCTTTGATGATATCCCATGGATTGAAGGCGTCCACGATCGCTTTGATGCCCATTGGTCCACCTTTGTAGCCGCTTCGATCTGCGATGTCCGCTGCCATGGGATCGAGGTGTTTGACGTTGTACGGTTTCCAAGGATATGCGAAGATATGGAGGACTGAGAAGAAAGCCATCTCGATGCAGAGCAGTACGGATGGAATTCCAATCTTGATGTCTTGATACGCCAGATGTTTCGTGGGTTGTAGCGGTCCTTTGTCAGAGGAGAGGAAGGAGATGACGATTGTTTGCCAGAATGAGAAGAAGATGACCAACTTGATCGACAAGACCTTCAGGAAGGGATTATGTTCTGCCAAGTCCGTCTTCAGCTGGATATAGAACTGAACCACCATAAACATGGCGACGGTGACCGATAGCGACTCAAAGACCAGGACCCAGATGTGCCCAAAAGCCGGGCTCAGAGATGCTTCGCAGTATCGTCCAAAAGCTTCGGTGATAACCGAGACGAGGGTGAACAAGACTCGAATGACGCAGTACTGGAAAATACCAGCCCAGATGACATTGAACCAAGTCAATCCACTTCTCGGTTTCCTCAACGGTCCTTTATTCTGTCCTCCCGTACATTTTTGCAGGCCAAACACACTCCAGAACCAATTGACGGGCTGTACACTCCGGAAGTACTCTTTCTGCTCATGCAGATTGGGAGCAATGTAATCACACAGCAGAGCAAAGAAACTGCTGATCGCGAATGCTTCATAGCAGTCTCGCAAGACCTCAAAGTATATTGCTTTCCTGTAGAAAACGTAGCTCAAAAAGCTGACGACAGCGTAGACAGGTATCATGAACAGTATCCTTATTATCTGCTTTTGCTGGTTTGGTCGCTGGTAGTGGATCGCGTGTTGGAATATCAGCCATAGTGATATAACCACGGCTATTAGGCCGAATACTACGCAGAGGATGAGGCCGAGATGGTGGAATGTCAATTTGCCCAAGACGGGCTCCTCGACGATGTGCGCATCTTCGAGGGTTGTATTACAAGATACCATGCTGTTGGAGGTATCACGTCTTTCTCCTACACTGCCGGCGTTTCGGTATTCGGTGTCGCGTTTCGCGGTTTGCGGTTGGTGGTATTAATATTTCGTTACTCGTCGCGCAGTAGTATCGTCCAAAATACAGCGGTCGTGCCAGCGTCGCCTCGTGAATAGATGGCAATGTCTCGTCTCGCCCGGCCGGTGCTCTCAAAGCAGATCTCGCGGTAGCCGAACGATTCTCAGCGCAAAGGCTTGCGCAATGCTTGGTCGCTGTGTCTTGTATCTGTCGCCTGCAGTTCGTCTATGGTGGCGCATGCGCTCACTGCCGGTTCCAATTTGGTCGCAGTCCGCAGGAGGATGACGCTTGACCCTCGCAGCCCAGCCCGGCTTGTCATCCAAGCCTTTGCCGTAATTCTTGGACAATGCTTGGCTGCCGACAAGATTGTCATATAGAACTACCGTAGAATGAATGTTTGGATGCGCGAACAGACAGAAATTGCGCAAGCCGATCAACACGGAGTCTGCATGCACTTCAACAGGAGCCTGTGCACTTCGCTGCTTCACTCATCCCCGCCAAGCGCGAATCGTGTTCCTGAGATGCTAGCGTCCGTAGACTGCAGGCCGTGCCGTCGTCAGTGGCGGTGACATCACGTGAACACATTTCGATCGACAGGAACCTCGGAATACGACATCGAGCACTGTGGAAGGCTAGTTGGCTTTGAAAGTTGATTTGTCGTGGTATCTTCGTGAGTACTTGCTCTCCATACTTAACTACAAAACAAACGCCAATCAAATCCCACCGTGTAAAAGCACAATAGTCAAAAGACAGTCTTTCATGCACGAGCCTCAGCCTGAGGAAGGCGATAAGCTGGAGCAACACCAACCCGCTCCTTGGCCAAAAGGTCGACCAGAAGAGGACTCGGTCGGTTGTCCTTGCCACCCTTGAGAACATCATTCTGAGCCTTGTACTGCTGAACGCTGTTGAGGTAGGCATCGAACAGGTAGCTGCTGTCCAATGGGCCACCCTTGGCCTCAGGATGGAACTGTGTGCTGAAGATGGGCCTGGTCTTGTGGATCATGCCCTCGTTGGAGCCATCGTTCAAGTTGGTGAAGTATTCCTTGAACTCGCTTGGAAGCGATGTCGCGTCGACCGCGTATCCGTGGTTTTGAGATGTGATGTGGCACTTGCCAGTGTTCAAGTCCAAGGCTGGAATGTTGTGAGCACGGTTGCCATACTTCATCTTGGTGGTTCGGGCGCCGGCCGCGATTGCGAGGAGCTGATGACCAAGGCAGATGCCCATGATGGGGATCTGGCTGGTGTTCATCAACTTGCGAAGATTGTCACTGGTGGCACGGCAGTGAGTTGGGTCACCCGGACCGTTCGAGATGAAGACTCCGTCGAAATGGTGAGCGGTCTTGTGAATCGGGTAGTCCCATGGCAAGCAAGTGACGCTCGCGCCACGTCCGACGATGGATCGGATGATGTTCTCCTTGACACCGCAGTCGATCAGAGCGACGTGGGCATTTCCATTGGGTGATGGCACGTGGAATGGAGCTTTGGTGGAGACCTTGGCGACCAAGTTTATGGCAGCGGGGTCATCATATGCCTCGTCCTCATCTGCATCGTATTCCTCTCCAACAGTAATCTTGCCCAGGGAGGAACCCTGCTCTCGCAGATAGGTCACGATGGCACGTGTGTCCACGCCGGAGATGGCAGCAACGCCCTCACGAGCGCACCACTCGGCCAAGCTCTCTACAGCAGTCCAGTGGGAGTATTGCAGTGCGGCATCAGCAACTACAATAGCAGATGCCTGGATGTTTGGGCTCTCAAAGTACTTGAGCAGGCCATACTCATCACGAGTGGCCGATGGCACACCGTAATTGCCAATCAGTGGTTGTGTGAAGACCAAAATCTGACCGCGGTAGGATGGATCCGTCATGGATTCTGGGTATCCCACGAGGGAGGTTGTGAAGACTGCCTCTCCACTGACGTTTGTCTTGGCCCCAAAACTCTTTCCGTGGAAGATAGGTCCTCCCCGAATAGTAAAAGTTGCACGCTCGTAGGAGGGCTTGGTTGAGCGCGATGAGACGCGTGGGGCGGCAGCTCGTGGTGTGCCTGGTCCCGGTGCCACTGTGGCATTGAATCTGACATTTCGGACAGATATGAAGGCGTTGGTGAATCCAGTCCTGGCCTGGACAGGCTTGAAGGTCCTTAAGATAGCAGTGGCCATGGTCGTGCGATTAATTTTCGGTGTTGTGCAGATCTTCTTAGTTCACGTTGGCCTTCCACAGGTGGTCACTGATGTAGTCTGGTATTCATTAGCATTCTGTCCGTGTTGTGCTCGTTTTGCCGTGTGTGCAAGGGCTCGGAGGGCCATTGGCGGTCATTCGGATGTGTCATCTCGTACCTTGGCTGGTGAATGTGGTTGGAGCGAACACCATAGAGGCGATTCAGCAGAAGTTGTTCAATTCGAATGTGCTCGTCAAGGTGAGCATTCAGATGCAGGAGTTGTGAGTGCCGATGGCGATGGCGATGGCGATGGCGATGGCGTCGACTTCGGTGTGCGTTGTGGAGTAGGTGAAAGCGCGGTGGAGGAGGGAGCAGAGAAAATGACATGGAAGCAGCGTGTGGGAGAGCTGCGATTGGTCGAGTAGCCCGTCAAAGCCAAAACGTCGGGTGCGCCAGAAGACTTTGCTATCAGATACGATGACTCCATTCTCCTGATAACGCTAACGTTCTCGGGGAAGCTTAGTGATGGAGCTACACATACATGTGTATGTGCATACAGGGTGTAATACACTATGTACGCAGGGGTGGGAAATTTAGCTAGTGTATACCCGCAAAAGGCCCTATTATTGTTAGTTATCGGTACTAATAGGGCTTAGAGCCGCTGCTAGCGGCTAAAGCTATCTTCTTAGCAAAGCAGCTATTATATCGACTAGACTATATACCCTTCGAAGTATTACATTCTTATCGCTAGAATTCGTGTCTTATCGCGTTAGGTCCGCGTTTATATATAGAATCGTATATAGAATACGATCGAATATAATAAAAGGGAATACTATATATATAACTAGAATACTATAGATAGAAGGAAAATTTTCAAGGAAGGACTACGTTTCTAGTAGTATCTCGAAGGGAATTTAAGCGGTATCGAGGCCTTATTTATAGAGGATATAATAGACTATTTTATAGTAGAATTTAGCTCTTTATCCCTATTAGTCGATATTACTTTGCCTATTAGATTCTATCTCTTTTACTAAGCTAAACACTACTCCTACTACTACTATATCCGATAACTTGTCTTCTAGTTAATAACGCCTCTTACTAGGTACCTCTATACTAGTCTCTAGTAAGCACAAACGGACGGAGGATCTATACTAGTTATTAGTAACTTATACCTAAATTAAAGGCAAGAATTACCTAAGGGTTAAGTGTAACTTTTGCGGTAATAAGTAGGTCTCGAGTGCTAAAGGGCGGGTGCTTAATTATCTGTCTATCTGCCGTATTCTCTCTAAGGATCTTTAGGAGGAATATTAGCCTAAGAAGGTAGCTATCGACGAGGATATTAGCTTTAATAATTACGAAGAGCCTTTAGCTCGAGTTAAGGCAAAACAGACTATTCTAATCGGCGGTAGAAGCTTTATCGACTATATATCTCTAGAAGAGTATAAGACTGCTTATAAGAAGATAACTAAGTAGGTATTAGCCTCCGGTAAGGAGTTGTCTATTACTAAGAGTCCCTAATTCTAGGTATAGCTAAAGCTTCTTCGCCCGGCTTTTATACTATCTTCTCGCTAGCAGATTCGATATAAGTATCTCCCTCGAATTTATAAGCGACTATAGGCAGAGATAATATAAGAAGGGTTATATTAGCAGATAGATAGGGTAGTAGATTAGTATAGTATTCGATAGAGATCTAAGAGGAGAGGGAGGAAGGCGGGCTAGTTAGCCTAACGCTAAGCGCTAAGCCCTACCTAAGGCATCGAGACCCTAGCTTTACTCGAGCCCGGTTATATGCTAATTATATATAACCTCTTTAGTCCTAATACACGCTTCCCTTCTAAAGGCCGCGCCCTCGTAGCCGGTCTTTGTTCTAGTCTTAACCTCTATTACTGCTAACTTAGTAGGCCTAATAAGCCGCTTAGTCCGCGCTAAATCGAACGCATAACTACCGATTATGTAACTATATTAAACCTTACCTTCTAATACAATGTCTAACTCTAACTACGCTATCCTTACATATAATAAAGTAATATATAACTACAAGAATTAAGGACTATCGACTAATTATAATACGAGCGCATCTTCCCTACTGCAATAGGTAGGTATACAGGGTATTATAGCACTGCCCTCGTTCTAAGTAATGTCGTACCGAGTTCTCTACGTCTACTCTTAAAAGACCTAGAAATGTCCGCTTCCGAGGGTTGTTCTTATTATTACGAGGGATTGTTCTTATTGTTACGAGGGCTATTATTTACTATCGTAGTTTTACTAGCCTTAATTAGTTAGGTTTAGTAGCCTTTAATTGTTAATCTTATCTTATCTTTTAAAAAACACAGCTCGTCTAGTTTCTATAGGTAAAGGCTATTATAAGTATAGTAGTAGAGGTTCGCCTCGCTTAAAGGGTTAGATAGATCGAGGAGTAACCTATTGTCCGCAAGATCGACCCCGGCTAGCTTAGCTCTATAGTTTTGCCCTTAGTTAGTTAGTCTATTAGTCTACTTAATCTTTTAAGCGGCTTAAAGTTTTAACTCGGCCTTAAAGTTTTAATTAAACCTTTAACAGGCTTAAAGCTTTAATTAAAGTTTTAATTAAAGGTGCCTTAGGCTCGTAGTATAGGTAAGGTTGTCTTCGTAAGTATAGCGATAATAGCAAGTAATATTAATAATAGCGGCGCTAGTCGTCTTAGCGCTAACTTTACCTCGCTTCTAATCTCCTTCTTCTATTAATAATACACTCCGCAATACCGTTACTAATATAGCCGCGCCGGCCGTGCTATCTTTTAGTATAGGCGAGACGCCGTCGTTATTATTATTATTACTATTCTACGCGTATACGCGCCGCCCTCGCCGATCGCCTAGGCCTCGAGGCCTCGATAGAAGGAAGGAATAAAAGGGGGACCTATAGGGCGCGTTAGTAAGGAGGTAGAGTCCTTAAAAGAGCAGGCAATTAGTTAACGCGTCGTAGCGCGCTTGTTAACACTCGGTGCGCGTTTACTATAGTAGTATAGTCTTATTATCTCTTGTTGCTAACAATTGCTTATAGCTAATTAGTTAGCTAATAGCACCCCGGGGGTAGCATTAATCCTAGGCCTTAATAGTAATATTATAAGCTTTTAGCCTTCTTCTTGTTCTTTACGCTAGTCTAATACTTATCTAGCAACTCGGTTATGTCTTTAAAGGAACCTTTAGCTTCCTATAAATCCTATTCTAGTAAATAGCCCTACTGTCTTAGCAGGTACTCCTTCTTGCCTTGCCTAGTCCGATGCTTTAGTATACGCTCTATAGACTATAGTTCTTTACTATTAGCTAAGATTTCTTCTAACTCGGCAGGCGCTTTATCGCCTTTACGCTAGTAGTATAGCTTAAGAAGGGATATATAGAAGGTGTTATAGATAGTATAATAGGGTAGAAGCTATAGCTAGTAGGCCTAGCTATTGCCCTTCGGTTCTCGGATGCGAAATAGGCTAATGTATCTTAGTGCGAGCTTAGGCCTTGTTTTACTATTAGGTAATAGGTGTTTGCGGATACGGAGGTTCTTAGTGCTTAGTATAACTATATCGCCTTGTTTAAAGGTTATTAGCGTATAGTGCTTGTCGTAGTAGGTCTTTTAGTACTCTTAAGCCTTTATTAACTTCTCGGCTATCTTAGTATAGATTTCTCGCATCTTCTAAACCCTCTTAATAGCCGCTAGTATTTCGGGTACTTAACGCGCTTCCCTTTCCTTACGCTCGGCCTCGAGCGGTAGGGGGTCTTATAGCATAGCGGCGTTCTAACCTATTATAGCTATATATAGTAAGACCTTAGTTAATAAATGTACACTATTATTATATACGAATTCGGCTAGTTATAGGAGGTTAACCTATCTATTAGGGTCCTCGTTAATGTAGCTACGTAGGTACTACTATAGCGTAGCATTCTGCCTCTCTGTTTGACCGTTAGTCTGTAGATAGAAGGCTGTTAACAGCCGATGCTTTAGTCTTAGCTATAGGCATAATTCGCTCTAATAGTGCGATATAAATATCGAGCCCCTATCGGAGACTATCCCCTTAGGAGTCCCCTAATAGCTGTAGAAGATATTGTTCTATAGCGCTTTAGCTATATTAATAGCCGTCTAATCCTTCCGAGTAGGAATATAGCGAGCACCCTTAGTAAATCGGTCTATAACGACTAGTATAGCGTTAAAGACGTCTTTGCTTCCTCTTCGCTTAGTAGGGGGAAGACCTATAATAAAGTCTATTATAAGCTCTATAAAAGGCTTCTTTAGAACAGGGAGTAAAGACAACTCGCTAAATAGTAAGTGCTTTAGTGCTTTAACTCGCTAGCATACTGTATAGGTCTGTATATACTCCTTTATATGCCGCTTACTATTTAGCTAGTAGTATATACGCGATAGTAATTCGTACGACCTCTCTATGCTATAGTAACTAGCGAGCTTACTATTATAGTGCCTCTTTAAAAGCTCTTGTCTAATCGATTGTTTAGCGGGGACATAGTATCTGCCTTTAAACTTTAAGTAACCCTTGTCGTCGATCGACTAATTGTTATTACTCTTACTAGATCGAGTCTTTCGCTTACTTACAAGCTTATTAATACGTTCGATAGCAAAGGCGTCCCTCTACTAAGCCCGTAATAGCTTATCTATAAACGATTAACTATCCCCGTTTATAAGGTTATTTAACAGTACCCTCGCTATTAAACGAGGTACGTATTATATATATCTAATAGTACTAGTAGCCGGATTAACTGCAATCTCTTCTATAGTACTATCGCTATAGATAGCAATATCTTTAATCGAGTCGTTATAGCTCGAGCAATCTACGTCCTTTTTAACGTATACTAGAAGAACGACAACTCCGCTATAGTATTTGTTGCCGCTACGGGGTCCGGAAGTCCGCTTATCCTATGCCTACTTTATAGCAAGGTCTATAGCAATCTTATACTATAGGGTTGGAAATAGAGAATTAATATATTAGGTTTCGCTGTTATAATTAGGTCGCCTCGATAGGCTATTAGTAGGGTTACTTACGCCTAGCTAATATAATATATTAAAATTGAACCCGGCGAGGTAGACGGCCTATCTAGCCTATCGACCTATAACCCTAGTAACCTTCGTAATTCTACGGAGGTTGTTATAGTCCGTATAGACCTAAATAGGGTACTAAGCACTATCGAGATAATAGCGCTAGTACTTAAAGGCTTCTACGATTGCTAGGAGCTCTTACTCGTAGGTCTCGTACCGACGTTCTATATCGATTATCTTCCGTAAAAAGAAGGCAATCGGGTGCTAATAGGTGTTATTAGCCTGCTATAATATAATAGCTAATATAGCGAACTATAAAGCGTTAGCCCCAATTCGGATCTGCTTGCTTAGTGCGAAATAGTATAACAAGGGGACATTAGTAAAGCGTTGCTTTAGGCCGTTAAAAGCGGCTTGTGCTCTGTTAGTCTATTTAAACTCTCTAGTTAGGTTGGCCTTGGTTTTAGTAAGCTTAGTTAGGGGCATTACATGCCGTAAATAGCCCTTAATAAACCGACGGTAGAAGTTAGTAAAACCTAGGAATAATTGAAGCTCTTTAATAGACGTAGGAATAGGCTATTTAG